TTTTTTTTTTTTTTTTTTTTTTTTTTTTTACCGATTAGTTTTTGTACTGTGAGCTGCCTTGGGAAGAATTAGGGTCGTAATAAAAAAAAAAAGTCTCTTTTCCAAAAAAGAAAAAGAACGTAAGCCTCCCTGTTATATTCCCCGGCGCCCGCCCTGACCTGGGGCCAAGTCGCACTAGCAGCGTTGAGCTACCTCAACGCCTGAATCTGGACGCTTTTGCGGAGATGTGTAGAAATAGTGTTGAGTTTCCTGAACTGCACGTCTCCACAAACACGTCCAGATGCGGGCGTTGAGGTAGCTCAACGCTGCTAGTGGGACTTGGCCCCTGACATGTACAATGACAAGTTAAAAATTTTCCCTCATGAAAATAAAATAAAATAAAAAACAGTTATATTGCCCGCCTAGAAATTCGGTAAAGCCCTGACAACACCGAATCGCAGTATCGCAGCGCAATGATCTCTGACAGAAACTATCTCCAGGGGCAAGGTCTCACTCACTCAAAAAAAAAAAAAAAAAGCAAAGATGATCGGAGTGAATGCCTCAATCTGGACGTGTTTGTGGAGAGGTGCACTGGCAGGAAATAGAGACTCAACTGCTTTCCTGCATCTCTGCATAAAACACATCCCAATTCGTGCGCTTCGTCCTCCCCTCTTTGCTAGTGTGTGACTTGGGCCCAGGAACACCTCCCGCGCTTTCTTTCAAAATCCACAAGCGCCCCAAAACGTGGGCCCAGAAACAAACACACACACAAAAACAGCCAAATTGAATTGCGCACACACACACACACACACACACAAAAACACCCAAATTGAATTGCGCACACACACACACACACACACACAAAAACACCCAAATTGAATTGCGCACACACACACACACACACACACACACAGAGAGAGAGAGAGAGAGAGAGAGAGAGAGAGAGAGAGAGAGAGAGAGAGAGAGAGAGAGAGAGTCGCATAACGCGTTCTACGCAGGCGCACTGACGTATCAATGGCCGGCTCAGAGAGAGACACCTATCAATCACAGGCACAGAGAGAGAGAGAGAGAGTCCCATGTCGAGGAAGAAAGAAAAAACAAAATAGACGCGCTAGAACCGAAAACCTACTAATGTTGTAAAAAAAAAAAAAAAAAAACCTACCAATGGGCCTAGCTCAGTTGGTACACTTATGGACTGTTGAAATATGAATCAGACCCAAGTTCGAATCCAGATACAATCAGATCACCAGAATAAAATCATTCTGAATTACTTTGAAAAAAAAAAAAAAAAAAAAACCGAAAACCTTCATACAGTCCCTTTGGGACATCCGCTGAGATTGGGACGATGCAGAAAAGAGAACTGGCATGGCCGCTGCACAAGGATGACACTCAAAAATCCAGAAACGGTCCAAAATTTCCTTTTCAGGAAAAAAAAAACGAAAAAAAAAAAACGCTTCATGCGTTTCCAATCCGCAAATTGCCCCGCATATTCGCCGGCCAAAGAGGAAGAGACAGGGGACGCGGGACCCTGGGCCCGGATCCCTTCCCAGGAATGTAATTAATTGAATTTAATTTTATTTTCCCGAATAAACAAAAAAGGAAGAGAGGGAACAATTACTCGCAGTGTAATCATTCCCTCTCTTCTTCCTTTTTCTTTTAATTTCTTTTTCAAAAAAAGAAGAAAAACTGACCACCACTTTCTTCCCCCGACGAACGCAACTCACCCTCCCTTCGTGGCTGGATAGGACCGAGGAAGACACGCACTCCGTGCTTATCAGAACGAAACTGAAGTTAGTTCCGATCCACCTGCCCGTCTTCCCGTCCAGGTCCATCAACCGGTCACAGATTGTTGACCAGGGGGTCGGGCAGCCAATCAAGCCACTTTTTTTCGTCAAACAGTGCACACCTCCAAGATTGTGTTCATCAGACTGGGAGAACCAAGAAAATTGAAAAGACCGAAATTTTCAAATGTTCGAATTTTAATTCAGAAATTCAAAAACTTCAGGAAAAAAAAAAAACCTTTTTTTTCAAAAATTTCCAAAAAAAATCAAGACTTCTACTTCAGTCGGGCCGAAATTCAAATATTCGGAACGTACGCTAGATGCCAAGACACGCAAGACAGACAGACAGACTCCGGGAATCTCAAAGAAAATTTCAAAAATTCACCACACACACCAAGACTTTCAAAAATTCACCACACACACCAAGACGCGCGAGCAG